ATATATATATATATATATATATATATATATATATATATATATATATATATATATATATATATATATATATATATATATATATATATATATATATATATATATATATATATATATATATATATATATATATATATATATATATATATATATATATATATATATATATATATATATATATATATATATATATATATATATATATATATATATATATATATATATATATATATATATATATATATATATATACATAGATATAGGACAGCGACGAGGAGGAATCCGAGGAGGACGGCGAGGAGAAGGTCAAAGGCTGCGGTTGGCAAACCTGCTGCTGCGGCGTCTGCTTCTACTGTCACGGCGTCTGCTGCTCCTGCTGCCCCTGCTGCTGCTGCTCCACCTGCGACGAAGCCAGCAGAGAGCGAAAGTGAAAGTGAAGAAGAAAGCGAGAGCGAGAGCGAAGACGATGACGACGACGAGGAAGAACAAGTCAAGAAGCCAGTCGCAGCAGCGCCGGCTCCGGCTGCGCCGGCAGCGGACAAGTAGAGATGGGGATGCACGGTTTGAGCAGGTGTTTCTTCCAGAGTGCTTGACCTGGCGGCGTTACTCGGAGAGGCAGGGTGTTTGTTCTCTGTTCGGCCTACAGCTTAGGTCTGCCTATTTGTTACTTGACGTTCACCGTGAGTTTAATTCAACACCAATAAATGGACCGCTCAATGCCGTCGTATTTGCCAGCCTCGCAAATGTCTTCTACATCCGATTCATATCAGTACAGCTCGTCATCATCGTCCGCCGTCCCGTGCTGAAAAGCAGCTTTGCCCTTGCCCTTATTGACGCGGCCGTTGGGGGCCCGATCGTCGTCATCGTCGCTGTCCACCGCCAGCGCTTTCCCCTTGCCCTTATCCCGCGCTGGCGCCTTGCCCTTCCCTTTGGAACTGGCAACCGACTCGCCGGATACAGCCCTCGCAGCGCCGCCGCCTGGTCTCGCGACTTCGGCCTCCTGCCCTTCCTTCTGCGCCGGGCCCTCGAACGAACGCCTCATCGTCTCATACCGCGCCAGCTCGCCTGCGCTGACGGACGGCACGAGCTCCCGGTCGGCGGCGAGGAAGTCCTCTTCCGTCACGACGACAGCAATATCCTCTGCCGTGGCGTGATGATCGAAAAAGTTGGCCGTTGAGATAGGATGCTGGTCTGGGCCGCGTGCTGCGTTGATGGCCGCCACCTTGGCGTCGACGGACGACGTCTGGCGCGTGATGGCCTTGAGCATGGCGTCGCTGCAGAGAGCGTAGTAGTCTGCACCCGTGTAGTGGTAGGGCAACTGGGAGGCGACGCGGTCGAGCGAGAGTGAGGGGTGAAGGGTGAACCTGGGCACTAGTTAGCTGGTCTGCTTGTGCTGGTAGGCATGAAGCTGGAAAACAAAAGGGAGGGAAGGGGACCGGGACTGCGATAAGACTGAAGAACATACTTGCGGGTGACAGCCTCAAGGATCTTGAGCTGCGTCTCGCGCGTGTCGGCCACACTAAGGTACAGCATCTTGTCGAAGCGGCCCGGCCGCAGCAGTGCCGGATCAAGCAAGTCAGGCCTGTTGGTCGCACCAATGACGAAGACGCCGCCGCCGCCATCGCTGCCGCCCGACATACCGTCGAGCTCAGCGAGGAGCTGCGACACGATGCGGTCCATGACGCCGCCGCTGTCTCCCTGGTTGCCACGCTTGGGCGCGACCGAGTCGAGCTCGTCGAAGAAGACAACGCAAGGGCGCGCGTCTCTCGCCTTTTGGAAGACGCGGCGCACGTTGGCCTCCGACTCACCAATGTACATGTTGAGCAGCTCGGGGCCTTTGACGCTGAAAAAGTTGAGGCTGTACTCGGTGGCGATGGCCTTGGCGAGGAGCGTCTTGCCCGTTCCGGGAGGGCCGTAGAACAAAATGCCGGAGCGCTTCTTCAGCCCCTTGGCGAACAGCTCCGGCCTCTCGAGGGGCAGCTGGATGGTCTCCTTGACAGCGTCCTTGACGTATTGCAGGCCACCCACGTCGTCCCAGGTGACGTTGGGGATCTTGGGTGCGCCAATGGCACCAGCAAAGTTCTTGCGGGCCTTCTCCACGGCAACGTCAAAATCGGTCTTGGTCACGCTGCGTGCTGCAGGGCATCCGGTGGCTTGTGGTCCGCCCGAGACCTCGACGTCTCTGACGGTCACAATTCGGTTGTCGCTCGAGGCCTTTCGCGACATGTCCTCCAACCGCAGGTTGCGGGCGATGCGAGCCCGCTCCACCGCGTCCACCAATCCGCCTGCTACGAAGGCAGCCGTCTTCAGGGCAACGCCACTGATTTCAACATCGAGATCAAGGTCGAGCCCCATATCGTCAACGACGCTCCTCAAGATGCCTGCTCGCTCTACCTCGTCAGGAGCACCCATCTCAAGTTCGTATGTGAAGAGGCTGCGCAGGCCCTTGGGCAGCTTGTCGACATCATTTGTCGTCGCAATCAAGACCCTCGACTCCTGGAGTAGTCCTTTCATCGTCGACACCATGCGGTCTGCCGTCAGGCCCTCAATGTGCTTGAATAGCAACACCGTGCAGTCGGCGCCACAACTGAGGCCACGCTCCGCTCGAGCCTTGAGGAAACCTTCCGTCTTGACGTCGCTGCCGCTCCCTTCTGCCTCGCTCAGCAGGTCGTTCGCGTCAATGGGATATGTGTGAAGTCCGACATCGGCGCACGCAGCGGTGGCTACGGTCGACTTGCCAATGTAGCGATGCGTCGAGGTGAGAAGGATGGCAACCGGTGACATGCGGCCGTGAATGGCCGCGGGACTGGTCGCCGCCGCCAGAAGGGCCTGCAGCCTGTGTCTCAGGGGCGAGATGTAGCGTTGGTCTTGCGAAGGGAGGGCCGGTGTGGGCGCGGCCAGTGATCGGATGGGAGCCTTTTTAACGCCAGTGTAGTATTCCCAGGTGCTAGACAAGCTGGCGGGGGGGCGGGCCGTGACAAAGCCTGACAGGTTCATACCGACCGTCTCGCTGTCTATGCAGGCCACGCCCTTCCACAGATCCTCAATGAGGTCGTCGTCTTCATCACGCTTTTGCGCTTGGACATGTCCAACCTTGAACCACGCCACCTGGTTGGCCTTGGACGTGTCGTTGGATAAGGATATGATGTTGTCGACCTCGGCATCTTGAAACATCTTTCCGAGAAGAGTATCGATAGGAACAGCAATCAAGTCACCTGCCTTGGCAATTCGGACCTTTTCGGCAAAGTAACGCTTGAGACCAGCCAGGACGACGGTCTGGTACGCCCTCTCGACGGAAATGGGGGACCTGACTTGATGGATGGTGATGTCTCGCGCAAAGGGTGGGTGAGATGCCCTCGAGAACTTGGCAGCAGTCCTCTTGCCTTGCGGCGTGCTGGGTTTCAGGGGCGAGAGACGAAGGTAGGCTGGCGATTCGAGATTTGCGAGGAGGATGGGGGAGATGTATGCCGCGGGGCCGGTGGGCTTCTGCGTTTGTGACTCGAAAAAGGACGGCTTGCGCTGCAGGTGCCTCGAGCTCGGTATCCTCGTGACGGGTTTTTGCGTGTATCCCTCGGGAAGACTGTACACCCTGACAGGCCGCCAGTTTGGCTCCGGGCCGTCCTCGAGGGCGTTCAGGCTGTTGAGGCCACCGAGACCAAAGGCGCCGAACCCGTGGGCGGGAGGTTCCTCAGCCGCCTCCACACGGACCCAGTCTCCCGAAAAGCAGCCAATTTTCAGCAAAGAAGAAATGTCGACAAATATCCTCGCCTCCTCATCGTCTTCTGGCGTCGGCTTCGGGTGGAGGAGGACCTGAGGTATCTGCTCCATGAGGCCCTGCGCCTTGAAGAGACGGCCTCGAGGGCGGTCCGGTCGCGCGGTCGTCGCAGTGTAAGACGAAAAGACTGAGCCGGGTGTCGCAATGCCGTTGGTCCGCCTCCCCCTGCCAATGGTCATGGGCGAGCCTGGTTGCATCGTGGAGACGCCACTAGCGTTTGTTGTGTGCAGCATGGGCGCCTGAAGAGAGATCATGTCGTCCATGGAGTCGTCAGAACTCTCGTCATCCTGCTCGAGCCCCGAGGCCTCAGACTCTTCTGTTTCTGTGACCGTCTCCATCTCTGTGACCTGGGCGTCCGTCTTGTAGCGCTCCTCGGCGGCCGAGTAGAACTGGTCGTTGGCGGTGTCCTCGTCGTCCTCGGGCACGCCGTTGAGCCCACGGTTCGCGGCCATGGCAGCCGGCGTACGCCCAGACTTGGCGCGCACGTTGCCGCGCATCAGCACGATTTTGGTGTCGGGCGTCAGGATGCCCTGGTTATAGGGCTCGCACATGACGATCTCGCCGCCATTGGGCGGCACATGGGTGACGGGATGAGGCGGCAGAGGCAGAAGAAACTGGTCGCCAGAGTGTATGACAGCCACGCTGCCCAGCGCGACGCGCAGGGCCTCGGTGAGGTGATCCTCGGGGGAGGTGGCGGTCTTGCCCTTTGGCCTTGGCCTTGGTGTCGTGGTCGGGGTGGCTGTTGAAGAAATGGCCCTCGCCCTGTTCCCAGACGCTTTGATGGATTCCTTCTCGAGATTTGACAAAGACGGTGTCGAGCGGCAGGGCAACGGCATCGAGGACGAGAATCTCAATGCCACCGCGGGGCGTTGCCCATGAGCTTGGAGGGGGCCAGGTGCTGCAGAGCCGTGCGGAAGGACTGCAGGGCCAGGGACCTCGGGGAAAACTGCAGGATAGAGGGGCCCCAGCTCGGGGTTCTTGAGGACGGGCACGAGGGTCCATGATGTTTTGGTCGGAGAGGCAGTGGGAGCCCAGGGCGCGATGGCTACGTGTTGGATGTCGTCGGAGGATGCTGACAGAGGGGTGGGCGGGTCAGTTGGGGGGTTGATGACAATGGGGGAGCAGAGAAGAAGGGTAAGATGGGGGCTGTCTCACAGTTGGAAAGTTGAGGAAACAGATCAGCAAAGAGGTCGTCGGACAGGAAGCCGACATCGCCCTTGACATTGCCGTCGAGGAGGAGGGTCGCGGCGGCAGCTGGCTTGTCGGCCCTTCGACGGCGACGCCTGCGTTTGGCGAGGATGGCAGAAGCCATGATGGGTGGGTATATATGAACGAGAGAAACGAGAACAGCAGATGGATCTCAGCGCATTGGAGTCAATGGCATGGCGTATGTACCGAGAGGAAGCTGTCGCGAGGCCTTGCCTTGGGAGGAGGTCTAGGGTCTGGAGTTGAGTCGATCGCGGCTCGGTTGCGGCAGGCACTCGCGGCGCACCCCCAGGCCTCGGCTTAGCTCTGGGGAGGAAGGGCCGGCAGGTTGTGGCCAATGGAGGGAGCTGTCTGAGGGGAAGTGGGGCTGTGATGCTCGAATCAGTGGACCCTTCCTGCCCGCGTCGATGTTGCATGTTCCGATGTTCGTCAGGAGGAAAGAACAGTCAGCATTCACATGCCTTCATCCTTATCGACGTTATCGTTTACCCCCACCCTCAGGCGTCCCCAGTGCATGGCTTCAGCACACTCCAGGCCCCAGAGAGCGCTACACCAGGCCTTGAGCTTGCGTCATGACGGAGGTGTCAGGGTGCGGTCTGGCTGCTCCGTGGCATGGCGGATGCGTGCTGCGTGCTGCGTGCTTGCGTCTTGATTCCTCTTTTCCACGCACACATAGCAGGTGCCCCAAGGCTAGCGAACTAGTAGCGCCTCGAGCTTGTCTCGGGCGCACGTTTTGCACTGCAAATGCTCCGGTTGCACCTTCCAAGGTACCACCTTACCACCTACCTCAAGGCACCATTTTAGCGGATGGTTGAGCCTGGCAAAGAACAACGAGAGGCGAGCGAGCCTCAACACTCAACACCCTCATGGACATGCATTTCAGCCGCCACCGGACATTTTTCTCCCTTCTCTCCCTCGACCTCTTTCGTCGACATCATGCTGCATCGCCTTGCTTCTCGCTGCTGGTATCCCAGGATACATAACCCCCGATAAAGCTCTACCTGTGTTTTTTGTCAGGCGTCTTGTCAACCGACTGCCCACCGTCTGATGATCGCTGCATCGAATCTGCATCTCCTCCACACAACACCCCCTGTCTCTGGCCCTGTCTCTGGCCCTGTCTTTGGCCTCCATCAGGTACCTCTGCGCTGTCAATTGCCTCTCTAGGTACCTCAGCCAAGGTTCGACTGTGGTCACTCTGGCCCCCTGTTCGGTGCCGCACTGCCGTTCATCCCATCCTCGCTTTCATTCATCCATCAAGGCCTGGGTACCTACTTAGTGACGAAGCCTTCCGATGCCAACCAGGCTGAGGGTGCAAAACCATGCACACCAATACCACGACACCCTCTCCCCAACCATGGGCGACTCTTCCTCGCGCTCTGGCTCGCGCACCATGACCCAGCCGCCTTCACACCCAACATCAACAACAAAAGTCGAGACCCCAGCCAGTGAACCTCCTTCGGATCGCTCACATCGTCCACGCACCTCCTCATCGGCTGGCGGCGCATCGACCACAACCACTTCCTCCCACAGATCCGCCGCCTCGCTCGCCAAGTCTGCCCTCGACTTTTCGCAGCAGGCTGAGAAGCTTGCCCATCGCCACGCCGCCGACAACGACAATGACGCCGACGTCCCTGTCGAGGCTCATTTCATCACCCCGCATGACCCCGTCGTCGTCACATCAGAGGGTCACAGGATACCCGGCGTGCCCCTCGAAGAAGCCCACAAGCTCAACTTGCTGAGGGAAGAGCTCGAGGATGGCCCTCACGTCGTGCAGATCAAGCAGGAATGCGATCTCAAGGGCGAGGTCAAGGACGAGGTCAAGGACGAGGTCGCCAAGCCGACGGCCCGTCACTCGCAATCCACCGACCAGATTGCCGTCGCTCCTGACCAAAAGGGCCATGACATGCAGAAATCACAGTCGGGTTCTCTGCGCCGCCAGATGCCCCCCTCCCACACGAACCCCTTGTTTCCGCCATTGCCCCTCTACGGGCCGCCGTCTCTGTTGCGCGACATTCAGACCCTGATCTTTCGCTTCACCTCCTTCTGGCTGAGCCTCGCCTTCCTCATGGTCATTGTCCTGGGCGCACTCTTCACGAGCATACCCCTCGTCGCCAAGCAAGTCTGGTACAAGGTCACCTTCCGCAACATTGACGAGACGAGACCTTTCTATGCTGAAGAAGTCAAGAGAAAGAAGGCGCGAAACGATCTCAACAAGAAATGGAAGCACAACAACCTCAAAAAGGGTCTTGGTCCGGACAAAGAGGAGGTCGCCGACGAGTACGTGCCCACCGAGGGCGGCCGCGATCCGATTGTCTGTGACCCGGGCTATTACGCGCGACGGGTTGGCCTCGACATTGAGGAGTTGCACGTCCAGACCGAAGACGGCTTCATCATTGACCTGTGGCACGTCTACGACCCGAAAGAGTACACCAAGCTCAGCGACGAGGAGCGACAGGCCCGGGGCCCTCACGTCTTCACCGAATCTAGCAAGAAGCGCAAAGACTCGACCGGCAAACCCAAGTTTCCCGTTCTTTTGATGCACGGCCTCTTGCAGAGCGCCGGCGCCTACTGCGTCAACGACGAGGACTCGCTCGCCTTTTACCTCTGCAAGTCCGGCTACGACGTCTGGCTCGGCAACAACCGCTGCGGCTTCCGCCCGAAGCACACGATCCTGTCGTACTCGGACCCGCGCCATTTCTGCTGGAACATCCGCCAAATGGGCGTCTTCGACCTCCCGGCCCTCGTGTCACGCGTATTGCGGGAGACGGGGTTCGAAAAGATCGGCCTCATCGCCCATTCCCAGGGCACAACGCAGACGCTCGTGGCCCTGGCCAAGGAGCAGCGCCCCGACCTCGGTGACCGCCTCACCGTTTTCTGCGCCCTCGCGCCGGCGGCGTACGCAGGCCCTCTCATCGGCAAGGCCTACTTCAAGTTTATGCGCGTCATCTCGCCGGCTCTCTTCCGCATCGTCTTTGGCCTCGGCGCCTTCATCCCCCTCATGATGACCATGCATCGCCTGCTGCCGCCGCGCCTCTACGGCTGGCTCGGCTACAAGGTCTTTTCGTTTCTCTTCGACTGGTCCGACGAACGCTGGGAGCGCGACCTGCGCAACCGCATGTTCCAGTTCGCCCCCGTCTACGTCAGCGCCGAGTCTATGCGCTGGTGGCTCGGTCGCGACTGCTTCGCCAACCACAAGTGCATCCTCGCCACCAAGGAGGCCGTCCAGGCCGAGGAGCGCGAGGACCACCACGAGGGCACAGGTCCGCACAGTCTCGGCGCCGGCGACGCCGGCGGGGCCAAGGGCGGTGCGTCGGCGGACGCTGTCCGCGCACAGCTCGACAAGCCCCGCGGCGCAACGGCGTGGTACGACGAGCGCGCGCCTCCCTTTGCCCTCTGGGTCGCCGGCAACGACGACCTCGTCGACGGGCGCAAGCTGCTGCGACGGTTCGAAAAGGGCCGGGAGCCGCACGTGCGCGTCGTCCACAGCAAAGTCATCCCCGCGTACGAGCACCTCGACGTCATCTGGGCCATGGACGCGCCGCGGCAGATCTTTGGCGAGCTGCGCGAGGTGCTGTGGAAGACGTGCCATGTCCGTGACCTGTGCCGCGTGCCCAAGGGGTGCGAGGGCGTCGAGGCCTGGGATCCCCGGGACGAGCCGGCGTGGCCCGCATCGGACGAGTTGCAGTCGAGCAGCAGCGAGGAGACGTTGTCCGGGGGGAGGGGGAGGGAGCAGTAACGGCATGCGAGGTGTTTGGTGCAGTGCTTGATCCTAAGGCTTCCATGTTACGAGATTTCTTTCAGATTTATATAATGCGTGCTGCAGCACTGCAGGCGCTGGGAGGGTTGCCTCAATACATCGAGAAATGGCCATGCCAGCTGTTCTACATCTACTCTATGCTGCCTCTACACCGTTTTTACAAGTCGTACAGTCTATCGTCACAACCAGCGTATCAAGGGATTCTGAACAGAGCCCCAGAGCACGCCGTCAACCCATCCTCTCGGCCTCCTCGAGCAGCTTCTCGACGCTGAACCTCGGATCCGCCGCAGCAAACCACTCGAGCAGGCGCCGCCTCTCGACAGCCCTCTCCAGCCGCTGCGGATCAGGCTCGCCGCCCTTGCCGTCGAGGTCCCAGCCGCCATAGAAGCGCTGCAAGCACAACAGCAGCCAGCGCGCGTCCTCGACGTCGGCGCCGCGGCCGTCAACGACCTGGCCCTGCATGAGCACGAGGCCGGCCTCGGCGTCGCGCAGGTCCGTATAGTGCGTGACGGTGGTGTGGGGCTGGGCGAACTCGCCGCGGGCCTTGAACTCGGCGAGCTGCGTGAACAGGACGGTCGCCGTGCGGGTGGCGGCGTCGAAGACCCACTGCAAAAAGTGCATCTCGGCGCCCTGGCCGGGGCGCGGCACGGGCAGGACGAACTGCGGGGCGCGGCGCGCGAGGGCCTCGATGGCGGCGTAGGTCGGCGACGGGATGACGGCGCAGAGCGTGTTGGGCGTGTGGGCGTGGCGCAGGCGCCAGATGGCTGTGAGCTCCTTGGCGGGCAGCGCGGCGGCCTTTTCGAGGTCGAGCATGTCGCTGAGAGGCTTGACGCCCGAGGCCGACTTGGAGGACTTGGCTGCTGCTGCTGGCGCTGCTTGTGGTGCTGGCGCTGCTCCTGCTGCTGGTGCTGCTGCTGACTGGGGAGGCGGGGAGGACGCAGACGGGGAGGCCGCAGACGGGGAGGAGGGGCTCGGCGGCGGCGTGGGCAGCGGAATCTCAACCGTCGCCTTCTTCCTGAGCTCGTCGATGCGCTCGGCGTAGGCGGCGCGGAGGTCGTCGACGGACTGGTGGCCCTCGAGACGGGCCTTTTGGCTGAGCTTCTCGTGGTACTTGTCGGCGAGGGCGCGGCGCGGCTGCGTCGTGGCGAGGAAGCGCACGTCGTGGACCTGGGCCCAGCGGCGCTGGTTGGCGGCGCGGAGGGTGCGCGTCGACGAGGTCAGGAGGTTGCGCAGCGCGGGGGTGCGGCAGGACGCCATGGTGATGCGGGACAGCTGTGGTCTGGGGTCGTCTGTGTTCGTGTCCGGGTGGTTGTCTTCGGACGGGTGTGTGCCCGGTGGTTGTCTTCGGACGGGTGTGTGCCCGGTGGTTGTCTTCGGACGGGTGTGTGCCCGGTGGTTGTCTTCGGATGGGTGTGTGCCCGGTGGTTGTGTGCCCAGATGGTGGCCAGATGGATCATGTTGAATCTGCTCTGCTCGTGGGACCAAACTGGGGCTCTCTCACGACAATGTTGAAGCCTTACATAAGCAGCCTCTGGTGTTGGCCCTTTGCACGTGGCCGCGGCCATGGCCTTCCCTCGATCTCGATGAGAGAACCATCTCTATTCATCAAATCCACGACAATTCCGTAAGCAGAAACACCAGCTCTCTAGACTTGGTCTGCATAAGCAGCTGATAGCCATTGTTCTCAGCATTCGTGACGAATGGGCTGCACGCCGGGCGTTTTATCCAGCCGACGCTGCATCCTTTTCTTAACAGACCTATGCGTAGGTAGTCGCCCTCCATACTGCAATCACCGTCCCATCGCCCATGATGCATGTCTGCACCGTAGATCATGTCGGCACCATGTATGCCCATCATCAAAAGAGGCGCCCAGACTTGACCCCCAATGCAAGCACCAAGCAAAACGCCCACGAGCAGACGAACCGTCAACCCTCACCGTTTCGGCCCCCCCTCGGTGCCCAAACCCCGAGCACCTTCGCGGCCCGCCCCCCCGAACCCGCGAAACCCCTCCCGTTCCGCCCAGCCCAGCCCAGCAAAGCAGACCCCCCAAAAACCAAACATAAAAACACGGGGAAAGACTAATGGCGGGCCACCCGCGAGGATAACACCCCGGACTTTTCGGATCGGCGCGGAGAGGCGTGCTGCTCACTGCGTTGATGCGGGGAAACTGGCCTAGGCGGGACCTCCCTCTGCATCGAGACCCCCTCCAGGCTTTGGGGTTGAGGCTCTGCGTGAGGGGGAGCGAAGGTTTGGCCTTGGGAGGCGGCGGGCAGGCGTTTGATCAACGTCATGTCCTGGGGTCGACGGCGACTTTTGCCTCTTCACCAGACTCTGATGAATAATGCCCTTCAACTCCTACACTGTTGACACACACGGCACGCATCGGACAAAGGTCTTGAAATGGTTGTACAGGCTAATAACAACAGCAAGGAGATAGCAACAGGTGCCGGCCGTGGCGCGGCATGGTATCACCGCGGTCCTCTCTCGCGGCCCCTTCTACTCGTACGGGTCTCTCGCGGTCCCTTCTACTCTTACGGGTCTCGCGCGGTCCCTTCTACTCTATCCGGGTCTCCCTCGTCAGATCGCTCCGACAGTCTACTCAATCCACGCAGCGCCATCCCGGCGTCTGCTCCCCCGCCTCAAGGCGACTCGTCCCAGGTGGGCTTCATGATCCAGCGCTCGGAGCCCTCCTGGAAGGGCACGCCGAGCTCAAAGAGGCGGACAATGACGTTGGAGAAGTCCCTGAAGAAGAGGTCGTTGTCCTTGGCGTAGGCCTTGACCGTCTTGAGGAATTCCTTGTCCTGGATGAGGGCATAGTCGGTCGGCAGCATCATGAGCGTCTTGGTCGACTTGTCCTCGAGCTGCTTGGGGCCGTCCCACTTCTTCCACTGCCACTTCTCCTCGAGCAGCAGGCGGAAGTAGTCGTTGGTCAGCACCGTGGGCGAGAAGGTCCAGGGGCCGGAGAAGCCGCTGCGGTCCGTGTGGCAGCGGCCGAGGGCGTGGGCGCCGGAGAGGGCGACAATCTCCTGGTCGTTGAAGCCCATGCGGTAGAAAATGTCGCGCAGGTGGCCGTGCGACTTGGTGGCGTCGGGCAGGCGGCCGTCGGGCGTGCAGAAGGACACGTCGCGGTCGCTGCGGCCGGGCCGGTAGGGGATGAGGGGCCCTTGCATCTCCTGGAGGGCGCAGACGCCGCCGAGGATCCAGAGGTCCGAGTAGGTGATCCAGGGGAACTTGGCCTTGACGGGCGCGAGGAAGTCGCGCGCCGCCTGGAGGCCGGCGTTGGCGCCGTGGTCGCCCTCGGGGGCGAAGCGCATCGTCGCGCCGTTGCTGCCGCCCGTGCCCGTCTCCTTGTCGTAGGTGCCGCTGGCGTGCCACGCGAGGCGCACGAGGACGGGGCCGTAGCTGCCGTCATCGTAGTCGTCCTTCTCCTCGAGGCGCGAGGCAATCTCGTTGTAGACGTCCTGGTAGTCCTTCTTGGTGGGGTTGACGACCTTGGGCACCGAGCCCGCCGAGACGCCGCCCTCGCGGGTGAACAAGTAGGCGCCACCGGCACCGGCGACGGCGAGGCCAGACAGCAGAGCCCAGTTGGGGCCGGCAGCCTTGGGGGCCTCGGAAGAGTAGAAGCGGTGGCCCTGGCGGAAGGCCTGGCGGGGCGCAGCGGCGAAGGCGGTACGCGTCGAGGAGCGCAGCGCCGTGCGGGCGAACTGACGGGTCGTGTTGGCAGCCATCTGGTGTGGTCTGATCAGCATGTGGATATTGGGGGGGGGAGATGGGGCTCATGACGGTAGGCAATATACCTTGTGTGGTCTTTTTGTTCGTAGGATGGACACAAAAAAAAGTTCACGATGGGTTGTGAAGAGAGTGTGTGGGAGGAGGAAGGAAGGGAAGATAAGGGTCGGAGGAGAAAAGAAGGAGGATCGACAGGGAAGACGAAGGTCAAGTAGGAAGCCAAGAGGAAGGCGAATCGGTGACAGAAGAAATCTCGAACGTTCCTCCCGCAACGGTCATCCACGACAGACGCCCTCCCAAGCCCTTTTTGCCTGGGCTCCCGGGGTCAGATGCCGGCAGACGGTGCTTGTGCAGGTGCAGCGCATTCTCGAGCGAAAACTGGAAAACCGCACAAGGGAAACGAGAGAACGGCGTCGAATGCCTAATTGGCGCCTCCTGAGTGGTCCATGTTCGGGATTCGACTCCATCAGATACGTCGAAAGTGGAGGGCGCAAAGAACGCGACTCGACGATGTGGGAAAAACTTCCCGGTGGAGCCACTTTACAGAGGCGTTCCGTTCCTCATCAGTGTCCGTTTCTCGTCAGTGTCCGTTTCTCGTCAGTGTCCGTTTCTCGAAGCACCGATTTGTCATGTTCCTTTCTTTGCTTCTTGCCTCCGCCAGCAACGACTTGGATCGCGCAGCGTCAGGAGCGTACAGTCTCTGACGCGAGCCTCGCCCAAACGTCTTATCAAAGAGACTTCCACACAGCCAGGGTCCTCCCAGGCACCATGCCACCCAGCAAGCCAGATGCTCTGCGCCATCACAAGCCAAAATGTCGCCAGGCCCAATGCGGTCACTCAGTGGCACACAACGCCTGTCAGCGCCCGCGCCATGACGAATGACGTCCACCGCGTCGGGGCGGCTTCTCGACTCCCGCCGACCCCTGAGCTCACGCCACTCCTGCCCACTCAGCTACAGTACTGTAGGTACCTGCGTCCGCCTGGAGGTGCCCCTCCTTGCGCTGCAAGCCCCTACGCCCCCCCCCTGCCCCCCCTACAAGCGTCCCGGCTCCATTGGATCTGACACTGATGCACCACAGGCCGAACCACCGAGCCGAGACGGCAAACTGTGCTCCTGACGTCTCCATAAATTGCCCCTTTGGCCACCGTTCCCTATCAGACCATCTTCCCCTTCCTTCCCTCTGCCGTCCACAGTCGCGAGAAGAGCTACCGGGCTTTGAACGCAAGTCATGCGTCTAGTCGGCATTCGACACGAAGCTGCGACTCTGTCAGCCGACTGCATCATGCTTTTATATCTCCTTCTTTCTGCCTAGGTATTCACTCAATGTGCAGCGTTTCTCTCTCGCCAACGTGAACCTGTCTGTCCATGCACCCTGGTGGACACCGAGGCGGCTGACGAGATGGACGTCGCCGCCTTCCGTGTCCCACCGCGACGGCCAATCCCTTGGACGCTATTTCCCATTACGGGCAGGCCGCCACGATGCGAGTGCGCTTCAAATGCCGGTGGTCAAATCCCGAACAGAGGTCTCGGCTCCGCACGAGGGCCTCTGTGCCGCCACTCAAGCGGACAAGCTGACTCTTTCCCGTCTGATAAGCTACTTGGTACACTCCGTCGATGGAAGGCTGCATTTTGGATGACTAAGCAACACACACTGGCGATGCTGCACAGGCAGGACGCGTACCTTACCGCCTCCTTGCATGGAACAAATACCATAAATCGTCCATTCTCGCTGCATCCAGGTCACCATCTCGCTTTATTCATCCCTTGCTATTCGTATCAAGAGCGTCAGCTGACTGGGAAGAGATAACTCCCGACAGTCTGACCAGGTTGACCAGCGTCCTCGTGGAGAGTTTGCTCCTGTTGAAACGAACAGCGGCTGAATTCCCCAGGCAAGACGTAGCATGCGAGAAGCAGAAAATCCAAGTGGCCGCTACGGGCCTACGGCGTCTCCAGAATGATCATATGTCCAGATTTACACAAGAGCCAGGATCTGCTTTGTTTCGTGCACATGAACTAACAACGTGGCAGCGGCAAATGGACAAGGCAAAATGCTGGCGGCAAAGCCTCGATTGATGATCAGAAACCTATCCAGACTCCTGGAAGACCACTGCCTGGAAGACCACTGCCTGGAAGACCAGTCACTGGACATCTCCATCACTGAACCCTGGCAGCTACCCAAGTGGCGGCCGCGGGGGCATCCTGCTGGTACTGGCGGTGGGCAGACGTGACGATGATGCCGCCATCGCAGATGTTGTCGCCGGACCTGCAGATCACACGCGTCCTGGCAGCAGGGATAGAGCCAAAGGCCTCATCGCGGTCGGGGTCGCCGAAGGTCAAGACTACAACGGAACATGTCAGTACACAACGATTATAACAAGAGATGCGTCATGCGTACCAGCGGTGACCCTGGCGGTGACAGCAGCGCTGATCTGCTCGGCAGCATTGTGGACGAGCTGGGCGCCCTGGCTGTAGCCGCTGAGGACGATCCGCGTGTTGGGGCACTGGCTCGCAGCCTGGTGCACAGTCAGCAGTCTGTCGCTTCACTCTTGTCGGGACACGGGACGTACCCTGGCGGTGAGATTGGCCATGGTCCTGCTGCCAGCGCCATCACCTCCGGCGAGGAAACCGAGCACGTTGGCCGCGTAGTCCACACCCTGGACGGCCAGGTTGGCGGCACCGATCTGCTGAGCAAGGGCATTGAAGAAGACGGGGCCGACGGCCGCCGCGTCACCGACGTTGCCGTCCTGCGTGGTGCCCCTGGCATATATGAGGGTGACCCTGCGGCAGGGTGTGCCGTCGATGAGCTGGTTCGAGGTGGCCGAGGCGTATTGCCTCGCCTTGATGGTCGTCTCGAGGTCTTCGGTCTTGGAGAACTCGGTCTCGTAGTACGCCTGGAGCTCGGCAAGAGGGAAGGCCTCGTCAGCAACCGCGAGCGACTCAAGCTCGACGGGAGCAGAGAGAGCGCCACGAGTCGCGGCGAGAGCGACCAGAACCTGAGTGAACTTCATCTTTGGAGGTGAAAGAACCGGAAGTCTGAGAGGCTTGGAGGGCAGGATGAGTTGTCGAGAGATGGAGACGGCTTGGCTGATGCTTCTGCCCAAGCTTTCAAGAGCCCTCAGCCCCCCTTTTCCCCCGTCATTTTATACATTTTCTACATGTCTCGGCAGCATCTCGTTCACTTTCACATGGCAAAACAAAACCTGGTCAGATCGACCCCGCGCCAGCCCATCGTCGGCGTCCTGCATAGCCAGTTGCTTCTTCGAGGCACTTGGTCCGGCTCAGTGTGAACCTTCCCCTCTTTCCCGCCGCGTAGCCCGTCGCCGACCTCGCGCAGAAACCTGTTTGTGTTCTTCTCGTTCTGGTTTCCGTGGGTTCTGTAGCGGATTCGAGATCGGAATGTGCCTCTGAGACATGGTCTCAGATCCAAATCCACGGAACAAGGAACAATCTTCGAAGGAATCTTCGCCTCGCGCCACACGAGACACAGCACCGTGGGTGTTCTGTTCTTGGCTCGTCAGCCTACCCCCGGGCGCTCCCCCTCCTCCCACGAAAAGGGTGGGTGAGGATAAGGTTGACAAGCTGACCCAATTTACCCCACGATTGCCAAGGTACCATGTAAGCCTGATGTCGATCGCGCCGATGGGGGGGTGCCGGCGTGACCAATGCCGAATGTAACCTCCCCTCGGCGTTCATCCTCAATCAAGAGGCTCAAGCGGGGCAGAGCCCCCAATGCAGAGCGCACGAACCGCGCGGGCATCGCGACATGCAGCACTAACGTCTTTGAGTGGTCAGAGCCAAAGCCCATGCACGACACGTGGTGCATCCCGGTCCCGGGGTAGGTCTCTTATGGGCTTGGGGCAACTGCTCTGCGAGGTTTGCGTCTTTGAGTTGGCCCATGTGGTTGGATGTTGACTTGTGATTGTTCCGCTGCTCGGCAGTTGTTTTCGTCTGTTTGCTTTGTCGGAGACGGCTGACTCGAGGGGCGGAGAAGCTCTCGGAGGTGAGGCGGGCAGCGGGAGAGCGGCGCCCGAGGTTTGGGCCTGTTCCTACCCATCCCCGAATAATGCGGCCACATGAGCTTTCTTGTGCATGGTGCAGCTTCGCCTTCGCTTCCATGTTGGTCAGCCTTAAACTGGACTTCGATTTGGCTGGGCCAGAATGAGCGTCCCGTCGATGAGGCCGCGCTCGATGGCCGAGACGGTTGTAGTGTCTGGGATATGGTCGCGACTAAAGGCCCGGGTGCCGGGCCAGGCGTTGTGTGAGGATTGTTCCGCCTCGGCGCGGCAGCGGAGGGTCCAACTCTCAAGGCTCTGGAGAAAGTCAAGGCTCTGGAGAAAGAAACTGAGCGACTTTGGTCGATACGAAGTCGTAGACCTATATTTCTTCCAGCATGAATCGAGTCTTGTGCTTGGTGGATCCTCCGTACCGATTGTAAATGGTAAGGCAAGTGAGCTGAAGTGCGATTGAATGCTATCTTTGTTTCACGACTCGTCCTCGAGGGGCTACGAAGACATGCTTCCATCGAATGACCACGGTAGGGTTAACCATGATGTGTCGTCGAATCTTGAAGCTGCTCATGTATATGCCGTATCTGCGTCCTGTAGCCTGAGTAATTACGCCGCTTGGCGGCGAATTCTGTCCCTCAAAGTGTGTACCTCTCGGGCTGTCGAAAGCTCAAGGGCTAGCTGGATACTTTTGGAATCGTCCTCTACTGCCAGTGCTTGATTTGGGGCAGAGTGAAGAGGTCTTCCACACGTGGTCCACAGGCAATAGATATAGGTAGGAGGTCGGAATACAGCTGAATTATGGCCCTCCGCAGCTTAGAGGGCCCTCCGCAGTCCTTGTATATACATTTCTCGTAACCCTCAGCCCCTGACCGAACCCCTGCTTCGTGGCTCCGCAGGGCCACCTGACATCTACTGAGCGTTAGCATGTTTAGTTTTGTTTGCTGTCCGCCAAAGAAACTTACCGGGAATGCTCATGAGGTGGCAGAGCGACAACGGATATTCTTGAATTGGGATATTCGAATGGATAGAGTGAAAAGGCTCCCATGAGGCTTTCTCGTTGTCAAACGAGACTGCTTTATCGACGGCTTGAATCTTGACCTTTTTGTTTTTAGAGGAATTAGTAGGAGGCATACGGATATGAGCGTTAGATTTAACTGACGTTGCGTTCAGACGACGTTCCATGAGCCCTCCATGCTCAATATCTTCGATGAGTCTTTCCTTGACTTGTTCTATGTTAACCTGTACCTTGCGGAAAGATTTACCTATGTCTTTGGAAGTTCTGCTCGAACTTGCATTCAATGGCGTCGACTTTGATCTCGAGAGCGTCGACCTTGTTTTCCAGGGCATTAAAACGACAGCTAAAGCCATCGATACGAGTACTGTCAGTGCTTGATTTGGAGCAAAGTGAAGAGGTCTTCAACACGTGGTCCGCAGGCAATAGATAATAGGTAGGGGGTCCATAGTCTAGCTCTTCGTAAATGTTGGACATGTTGCATAGGCCAATAAATGGGAAGACAATTGCTTGATAAACGGGAGCTGGTATAACAAAGAAGAACGGGAGGTTGTATAACAAAGAAGAATGGGAGGCTGTCTAGGAGAAGAGAATGGGGATCGTTGACGAAGAAGATAGGGTAAGAAATAGACTGTCCTTCCAGGCAGCAGCTGAGATGTACCTTCCGGGCAGTGGTTGATGACGACATAGAGGTTGTGATTCATCGGCACCTTCCTGATTTGACTGACAAACACCTTCCAGGTATAAGTCAGAGTAAGGTCAGTATTGAGAGGGCTTCACTGCTTATATGAACCCTGATTCATTACTTTGGCTGTGCCTGAGAGCTCTGAATAGGTAGGGTAGGTGATATGAGACTTGTGATGAAATTAATGCTATCTCTCTGAATCACTGCCACCAACCGATGTGAATCAGATATACCCATCTGATTCACAGATCACGTAAGCCGTGAATCCCAGCCCCGGTGATCACCATGTCGGTGAATCCCATACAGTGATCACCAACCCAGGCAATCCCATATATTGGTTCAACAGTAAGGTAGGTAGTGGGCAGTCACCATGGAGCATGGGGGTGGATTTGGTCTGCAATGTGGCAAACTCCAAGTCATATTGCTAATCGACCGATAATTGAGTACCTAGCATCTACATTTCGTCTGATGTCTACTGGACACTCTCCAAGACAGCCAAACATTCGAGCAGACGAGTCTTCTCCCTTGTCAGCGCATCCTCGAGCGAGGTGAAGGGGATGCCAAACTTGGCCTGCACAGCCTTGGCAGCCACGGCCCCCTCACTCAAGTCAGTGGCGTTGGCCCAGAGGTGGAAGCGCTGCGTGAACAGCGTGTCCTTGACCTGCTCGATCTCTTCAGCACTCCGCTTCTTCGCCAAGACAGTCTTGCCGCTGACCCTCGAGACGATTTGCGCCACTTCCTCCATGGTCAGGTTCTCGTGGCCCATGGCGATGACCTGCTTGTCGAACTTGGCGGGGTCGAGGAGCGCGGCGGCGGCGTACGCTCCAATGTCGTCGGCGTCCGTGTAGAGCATCGTCGCGCCGTCGTCCATAGCATGGTCGAGCTCGCCGCGCGTCGAGAGCGCGGGGAAGTTCTGCGGCGCGTTGGGCAGGAGAAAGTCAAAATGGCAAAAGGCAGGCTGGAGAATGGTGTACGCCTCGAAGCCGGCCGCCTTGACAGCTTCCTCGACGTCATACTTGGAGGAGAAGTAGCCGTGGAGCAGTGTCTCCTTGGTGATCGGGGTATCCCACATGGCCTTTTCGTGCGCAAAAAAAGTCGTTGATGCGACAATGGTCTTGATGCCGACCTTCTTGGACGCCTCGATGATGGTCTGCGCCTGTGACAGTTCGAGGCCTGGGATGGGGAACGTGTTCAGGAAGACGCCGGTGCAGCCCTGAGCTGCTCGGGCTACGGCCTCGGCATCTGTACTTTCTCCCTTGAATATGGTGACGCCAGGGCGTTCTAGAACTGATGGGATCTTCTGAGGGTTGCGCACGACGGCGTGGACCTTCGCGCCTGACGCGAGGAGATGGGTGATGGTGTGTTGGCTCTGGTGGCCGGTAGCTTGAGTGACGAGATAGATAGCCATATCGATCGTCGGGTAAGGTGTATCAAGGGATCTAGAAGTACAGGTAGTTTTCGAGGCCTGTGCAAGGGTGAAGATGAGTGCCTTGTGAGTATGATGCGAAATGCGATGGCGACGACTTCTATAAATACTCGAGCGCACTTTGCGAGAGCCCCCTCTGGTGGTCCCGACATGCCTTGCATAGCCTTTTGGTGCTGAAGATGCCGCTGGGATTGATAACCTGCAGACGGATTTACAAGCTTCCGTGGGGATACAGGAGCAGAAACAGCGTGCGTATCGGCTTTAAAGAAAATGAGTCCGAGTCCGAATGCGACAGCGACAGCAGTGAATGATCAGAGTACCTAGGTCTGGTGGTTGGGAGGTTTACAAATCCGTCATATTCGTCGCATGCACGCTGAGCCAAGCGAATCCTGCTCGGTCGAGGTGACCAATTATATCAGTAAAAGTCACTTGCTGACCTGCAGGCACTGATTGGTCAAAATCCCCATGGCATGCCCAATGAGGTACCTACCTAGGAGGGGGACACATCCAGGCAGCAGTGCGCAACCAGTCACGATTTACCTCCCTGCGTCCCCTTGGCCTGGGGAAGGTGCTTTCTGGTGAACATGCCGCGCACCTGACTTTAGGTGAGGCTACACCACGAGGCTGCTCGAGGGAGCCAAACCCTCTCGTAGGCACGTACGATACTCAAGCAACTCGGGGCGAATCTCCTTGGGGCCATAGGGGTATCAGAGTGTGTCGCTCATTGACCCGAGACCTTGATTGGCACTGATCACCCATAGCGTGACTGGAACACTCGCGAGCTCGATTCGCAGAGCGGAGAAGCGCCATATCATGCCGGTGTTAGCTGGCGGATTTCTGCGACTTCGAAGTACTTCCTACTGAGCTGCCCCGGCTGGATGAGTACGGTTGGCCGAGAGTACTTTTACGTCGCCGACCTCGACCGCGAGCTTTTCGCTATGACGAGTCGGAAATCGCGTCCCAGGATCTTGCGTACCGAGCATGGGAGCTATCAGAAGGGGTTCTCATCAATTGGAACACCCACAGTATAGAATCGGTCAAAAATTCGCAACCTTCTAGCTACCTACCTACCCAACTTGGAGCATCAACTGCAGCTGCAGCATCATCGCCCACTCACTGCCTTACGCCGCCGAGATCACGGCCGGTGCCTGGTGGACTTGATCATGCACTGGCTCGACGAATTCACCCCCCAATGCCGACGTCTTGGTCTCGTCAGAGACGATATCCACGCCAGAGTCCACCGAGGCAGGTGTGTCTGTTTGCGCAGCGTGGCCCTCGATATCACCACTGTCAGAGAACAAGGCCGCCGAACCAGGAACGCCCCTGCCACCGACATCCTCCGTGATTCCGTAATACTTGAGCTTCTCTGGCCGCGAAGCGATGAGATCTAGTGTGAATTGAAACGGAAATCCGCGCAGAAGCGTATCGTCAGCCCCTTCCTGCGACAGGTATTCTGCCGCGAGTTCGTTGATCTCGTCAAAGAACAAGACTCGCTCATAAGGAAGATCCAGAATGTGGAACAAGCGCTCGCCCTTCTCCTCAAGTCGGTCTTGTTCCCATCTCTCCTGAATCTCCTTGCTCGGCAGGTGAACTTTACCCGACCACACGAGCGCGATCAGGAACGCCGACTTCTCCCATGTCAGCCATGTCAGCGACACGTTGACCATGCCGACGAAGGCAATCGTGTTCGGGTTGTGGATGTCAAAGATGTGCTGATACAGACCAGGCACGCGGTGACCTTCCGGGCCCACGGGCGGGCGGACATTGGAGAGGAAGGGGTGCGAGAAGATGTACCCCGTCGCGAACACGACGTGGTCAATGTCGCGCAGCACTGTCCCGTCAACGAGATGGATCTCGTCCTCGGTGAAGTGATCAATCGTTGTCACCACCTTGACGCCCGGGCGCTGGAAAATGTTGGGATAGCGGGGATGCAGCGACTTCTGCGAGACATGGATGTCGCCCTTAACGTGAGGCAAGGACTGAAGGACAATGTCAATGGCACTCTCGCTAGTGCCCACAACCAGGGTGCGCTTGTTCTTGAGCTCCTCTCCCGACCGCCATGTCACAGAGTGTTGCAGACCGCCCTTCCACGCGTCGAGCCCGGAGATGTCGGGGACGCGAGGCACGTTGTTATTGTGGCCTGTAGCGACGATGAGATGATCGAACTCTTCCTCGTACCAGGTGTCAGTGCCTCCGGCGTTCTCTCGGCGCAGCAGCAGTCTCACTCCGCCTTCGGGTAGGTTCCTGACGTCTTCGACCGAGGTGTTGTATTGGATCAGGTAATTGTGCTTCGTGGCAACCTTGCTGATGAAAGCTGACAACTCGGGGGCAGTTAGATAGCTGCTGTCGGGGTTGGCCGGGCGAGGAAGTGTCAGCTCCGTCGCGCCTCCCATCACGCTGTAGGGAATATTTGCCACGAGAGACTCGTAAATCGGAGACGAAAGGAAGCGCTGGCGTGTTGAACGAGGCGCATCGCCAGGCAGAGCAATGTCCGGGCGCGGCAGCGGAGGGTCAATTTGCGAAGATTCTGGAGAGGGGAATTGCGGGACAGTTGTCGGTACGGTGCCTGGGACCCAAATCCCACCTGGGACACTCTTGCGCTCAAAGACCTTGAGCTCGAAGCCGCCGAGGCGGTTGAAAGCAGCTACCGTGACCAGCCCGCTGACTCCGGCACCGATGACAGCAACACGTTTGGGGCGATGCTTTTGGGTCTGGGCATTCTCCTTTGAAGGAATTTCACCATTGCCGGCATTGATGGGCTCAGACTCGGCGACTTCCTGGAGGACGGGTTGGTTGTCAGACGGGGAGATGTCTTCCTGGGGATCTTTCCAAGTGCTGTAGGTGGTGTAGCCTTGAGCACCGTGCGTGTAGAACGTGCTGGGGTCATAAGGAGACAGCGGTCTGCGCAGGCGAAGACGCTGCACAAGATCAGGGTTCGAGATGAAGCGTCGACCGTACGAGACGGCGTCAGCCTCGTCTTCTTCCACAGCCAAAACACCTGCCGCGGCAGTGTAGCCTCCATTGCCGACAAGGACTGTAGGTGTGTGCTCGGGATTAGATGGTTTGACCTCTGCTAGTAAGCGCCGGAACGGCTTCAGGGATATATCCTCTGGCGCGATGCCTTTGGCGACGAGTCTCGCGAGGTTTTCCTCAACGCTTAGGTTGCGGGACATGCGGGCCTGGGCGACGTGGAGGTACGCAACTCCACGCTGTACAAGTTCGCGACAGAGATGAAGCGACTGCTCCAGCGGTTGCGAACCGTCCGTCTCGTGGAAGCTGAGAGCTGCGTGTTAGTGCTTCGGGAGAAAAGAATAAGGGGGTAGCAATTTGGGCTCACATGGAAAAGGGGCTCAGACGAACTCCCACATGTTGGTATCCGACCACCTCAGCAACAGCATCAACTACTTCCAGCGTCAATCGACTTCTGTTCTCGACGGATCCGCCATACTGATCATGGCGCTGGTTGATGTTATCGTGCAGGAACTGGTCCAAGAGGAAGCCGTTTCCCGAGAGAATCTAGGCCAGAGAAAGTTAGTGACCTGGCGCTTTGGTGATCCGCTCCACCAGTCCAATGTCATCGGGATAGACTATATTTGACATACCTCGATTCCATCCGCACCAGCACTGACAGCTAGGGCGGCGGCACGCTTGAAGCTGGCCACGATCTCTTGAATCTCGTCAATCGTCAAGGCATGCGGAATGCCATAGGGCTCGCCAGATTGAGGGGTGAGTCCTGCTTCGCCCACAGCCGAGGCAGAAACTCCAGCGTAGCCATAGTAAGGGGGGTCTTTCAGGCCGATTTGCCTCCGGGCGAGCTTGACAAGACCTGGCGAGGTGACTCGGCCTACGTGGGTGAGTTGCTGGAACCAGAACCCTCCCTTTTCATGAACGACCGAAATAACGTTGGCGAGGGCAGTCTTGTGCTCTTCAGTTACCAGATTTGCTGACCATGGCCAAGCCTTGGACTCTAGTGAGGTTCCAGTCGCTTGGGAAATCATGAGTGCGCCTGGCGTGGTGCGCTGCGCAAAGTACTTGACCGCCAAAGGGCTTTCAGCAGAGTTGATGGCTCTAGAGCGACCTAACGCGGCGTGTACGATTCGGTGCTGAAGTGTTAGACTGCCGACCTTGAGGGGTTTGAATATTTTGGCATTATCAATGTCAAACCCGGTTGGTAGCTTCTCTGCATCTTCGTCAACATCTGTGAAGCCAGAAGTAGGGCCACGTGCGTTGATCTTGGCCACGAGATCGGAGTTATCTTTGGAAGCTGTCATTTTGGGCTTTCCGGTAGAGTGATGAATAAACAAAGAGGCATGAGATGAAAGAACTGCTCACTTCATATGCTTCGTGCTTAATGAGGAGGGACAAGGCCATCGCCAAGTCCGTATTTATACTAGATACTTCCCACTCGTAGACCTGAATCCTGGGTTCAACGTTGTCGATCTCGTGGTTTGAACAAAAAACTCCGGTCACGGCTGCCAAGGACCTCACCAGATTGCATCATGTTGTCTTGTAATTGCGGCATGATAGCATTGTTCGTTTTCACGGGGTAAACATCTCAGCGTCACGTCTTGTGGCTTAGGGATCCAATCCGCGCCGTGACACAACATTGACAGTCGCGGTACGCAGAGAATCGGATATGATTACTAGACTGAACAAGGGTTCATGCAGCGACTCTCAAATAATCGACCAAAGCCCTTCCGAAGTCGCGCTGATACAATGACGTGCTGATCGATGAACCAGCATGGGCTGATAAGTAGATGCAGTCGGAGGGTTTCTACGCGGGATGTCGGGATCTATACAAATCCGGCGAAGCTGAACTCAAGCCTCCTGATCCATAGAGGCCGATGCCTGAAGAAAACGGGGAGCTTCCACAGTACTTCCAAAGGCAGGGCACGGTTGTCGGCGAGTAAGTCCCCGTACCCCCCAACCGAACACTAAAACACACCAAAAACAGCTATTTACAGGGGTCTATATCTCCACCAATAATAGAGCTATATATCTAGGATTATAATATAGTATAGATTAAACTATTACTATAGTAGTATTTAAGTCTTAAAAAGATATTATATCTCTAGAGTAAGATATAATTAAAGTTCTTCAATTGTTGGGAGGACTTCACTGCTTATGTGAACCCCAATCCAGTGCTTCTGCTGTGCTTGCGAGCTCTGAATAGGTAGGGTATGTGATATAAGGCTTGTGATGGTTGATAGTTGCTTGATGCTATCTCTAAATTACCGCTACCTACGTGAGTCAGATATACCCGTCTGCTTCACCGATCACGTAAGCCGTGATTCACGTGGTCCTGAGAGCTGTGAATTCCAGATATCACTATTCCAATCATAGCCCTAGGGAATCCCCTAATATTGGTTCAACATTAATATCTCTATTAAACTTCTCTATAGAAGAATATATATAACTTAATAGCTTATTTAAACTTTTATATTAGAAGCTGAAATTATAAATTAACATTCTTAGAATTTTGAACTATTTTATTATATTTATAAAATGAATAAAAGTATAGCTTAATATACTTATATCTTTAAAATATATTTATATATAATTTAATAAGGGGCCCTTTTAGAAGCTTATAGCTAGCTATATAAGCTCTATAATATTATAAGATATTTATTATATAATAGCAATAGTCTAATCTATATTATATTAGTATCCTAGATATATAGCTCTATTTCTAGTGGAGATATAGACCCCTGTAAATAGCTGTTTTTGGTGTGTTTTGGTGTTCGGTTGGGGGGGGGGGTGCGTCTTAAGAGGCGCAGTGACCCAAGAACCTCCAATGGTAGGCGGTGTTAGACCTGTATCGGGATGCATTTCTGAGCTCTGAAGAAAAGGCTAACCACCCTCCTGATCTCGCCAAACCTGCGCTACGATGGCGACACTGACAGCCGTGGTCGCTGAAGGTATGGCGACATACTGAAAGGTCTGGACTCTCAATAAAAGATAGCCTTGGGATTCTTCAGAAAAGATACGATGATGCGACTTAAATTCTGTGTTACAACCACTTCGGCATCTTTGCCTTTCTACCATCACTACCAGTGCCGCAAAGTTTAAGCTGCTCAAGTCACAACAATCCATACATCATTGAAAGACCATGGCATCCGACCCTAATGGAGAGAAGTTGGCAGCTGATGTTGCAGTCAGCTCGCTGAACGCCGTCCAGAGACCTGCCGACCCTCCTGAGCAGGATGCCGAGAGTATTTGATATGTTCCCTGATGCATAGTCTGGCGTGGCTGACATGAGATGCAGACCTCAAGAGTGTATCGGCATCTGACGATGTCGGTCGAGAGTACTATCTGCTGAACAAAAACGAGGAGATTTCAGACGAAGAGAAGAGACATGTCCGCAACAGAATTGACCTCTTTCTCCTACCGTGCGTACATGTTCCATTTTGAGAACCGCGAAGCCGCTCAGAACGTTATCAGCTCACACCTTCTTTAGGCTCATGATGGTCACAGCATTTGTGCAATACTTGGACAAGTCTACCATCAACTATGCGGCCAACTACGGTTTGCGAGAAGATCTCGGGATGAAGGGCACGCAGTACTCCTGGGCCAGCTCAATCTTCTATTTCGGGTTCTTGGCGTGGCAATACCCCTCCCTCCTTCTCCTGCAGAGACTGCCCCTTGGCAAGTACTTTGCGTCGCAGGTCATGGGATGGGGTGTGTTCACCTTCTTGATGGCCGCAGCATCGAATTTTGGAGGTTTTGCCACTCTACGATTTCTCCTGGGGGCCGCAGAGTCGATCCAGCTGGCAGCATTCTTCATCATTACCAACATGTGGTACACTCGCGAGGAGCAGACGATCCGTCTCATGGCATGGTATGGAATGAGCCCCCTGGCCATCATTGCCGGTTCCCTCTTTGCCTACGGTGTGGGCCACATCGACTCTGATATTGGCCTTTGGAGGTTTCCCTTCATCATCTGCGGTGGTCTCTCCGTCGTTTGGGCAGTGGTTCTCTGGTTTGCACTCCCATCCAACCCCGCCGAAGCTTGGTTTCTATCGGAACGGCAGCGTGTTGTGGCTCTCAGAAGAATGCAAGAAGTAGGCACCGGCGTAGAGTCGAAAAAGTTCAAGAAAGAACAAGCCATCGAGGCTGTGCTCGACCCCAAAGTCTGGTTGGCTGCATTTGGCGTGGGAGCTGGCAACATTCTGAATGGCATTGGTCTGGTGAGTCTCCCCTATCCATTTCTGTGTTCCTATAACGGCAGCAATGAGGCCATTTGATTGACTGTGTTTCGACATGCAGTTTCAAAGCCTTGTGATCCGGGGATTCGGCTTCACAGCCCTGCAAACTACCCTTCTGCAGATTCCTGTTGGTGTCATTGAGTTGATTGCCCTCCTCGTCTTCTGTACACTTGCCACCATCATTCCCAACTCCAGGCTGGCACTCTCTGTTCTGTGCAATGGCTTCTCAATTGTCGGATCTTGCATTCTGTACGCCTTTGACCTGAAAGAGCGTTGGACTTTGATGATAGGGTAAGTCTCCTTGATGGTTTGACGGCTCGCGACAGCTTCGTTCTGACGCGGCGCAGTTTCTGGGTCATGTTGGGTTTCATCCCCTGCGGCTTTTTGCTGGGCATGGGAACGATCTCTGGCAATATTGCCGGGCATACTAAGAAGGTCACGGCGCAGGGCATCATGTTCGTCACCTACTCTGTGGGATGTAAGTATTGCCTAGACCTGTCCACGTCACGTCTCCCTTGGTGGAGTTCACCTACTGACTGGCACTCTTTTGCAGGCATCGTCGGCCCCCAACTGTACACATCGCCTCCTTACCGACAGGGCCTCAGGGCCAACATTGTCGCCCTGGTAGTCGCCATGAGCTGCAACTTTGCAAACCTGCTGTACATGGCCTGGGAGAACCGAAAGCGCAAGCAGTTCTTGGAGGCGAACAGGCACCTGCTCAATGAGGACGACTACACGTTCCGCGATCTGACGGATAAGCAGAACCCTTTCGTCGTTAACGCGCTCTAGGGCTGTGAATGGGCCTCGTCGTCTGGATAGTTGGCATTCCTGACCCAGTGCTTGTCTGCAAGCAATGAGGGGTGCGCAGCTTCCGAGGAGATCTTGAGGATGGGCTATGCTATGGCAAGGGATTCATATTCATGAAGAGTGTAGCCAGACTAAAGAATCACATGTCCATACTCATCATTTGTGGGAATACGTCGTCATGAACAAGAGCTACTGAATACCAAAGCTCCCGCTGTGATTGAGTTTCCTAGGCCTCGACAATGCGGAGTGTGTCTTTTGCCTTGCATGTTAGTCCCAATGTTGTTCTAGGCCGAATCCAAAATGGCAAGGAGTTCTGAGCAATCCTTGTATGAATCGAACGCAGCACTAGATGACAGTGTCATGCCGGCTAGGGAGGAGATGGCTTTCTGCTGTGTCCCGCCGCAGCCTTGATGAATGCCGAACTTCGGCGTAAACTCTCGTACCTGCTAGGATCCGACGAGCCAAGCTCTCAGAAAACCAGTCAGTGATAAGCGTCACGAACGACTCGGAGAAACTCTTCGCGGTCTCCGCATGACAAGCATGCCACTCGTAATGTGATGTATCATCACCCGACAGCCACGCGATAGTAACGTGGAGAACCATATGCGATGCTACCTACACACGTGCGAGATAACGTAGGGCGGACGGAAGCTTTCTATGGATGCCCCAGAGTCCACCATCAGCCACTACGACTTGATGTGCAGTGGTGTTGGATGAAGCCATGTGCAGGGCAGATGGTGCAATTGTGCTGACCAATGCTTGAGACGATCAAATCCCGAGAAGGCTGGTCGGACCAGCAGAGAATAGTTCGGGATAACCCAAGTCATTGAGCAAAGAGAAGCAGGTTTCGACTGGGGATTCGTAGGGCCTCGCTTTCCAGATCTGTCCCCGCATTCCCCACAGCATGATCTGAGGTTTGGATGCGGAACCCATGGTGTCATTTTACCTTGCGGGTTCCATTTACTTACGCCGCTTTGCGGCAAACGTCAGATTGCACCACGTTCCGGAAGTCCATTCCGACACCTCGTCACCTTAAGCACCGAGAAGATGGCTGTCACCGTCGGCGAAAAGTCGCTACAAAAGCTCCTTGCTACCCTCACGACGGTCCTCCACCCATCGACCTATGTCTTCGTTACGCTCCCACAGTCGGCGACGCCCCCCCCTCTCTCCGAGGTCCAGATGATCTTCCGCGAGGCAGAAGGCAGCACGGTCATCATGAAACTGGAGGACGCCAAAGCGCGCGCTTTCGACTATGCTTTTCCGTCGAGAATGATCACGCTCAACGTGCATTCGAGCTTGGAAGCCGTCGGATTCCTCGCCGTCATCACAGCCCGACTGGCCGCCACAGGCATGGGAGTCAATCCCGTCAGCGGATACTTTCACGACCATTTGTTTGTTCCTGAAGGGCGAGAAGCAGATGCCCTTGCGGTCCTTCAGGCTATCGCCGTCGAGAATCGTAATCTGGACACAGGCGAGGCCTCGTGAGCCTGCGTTTGCCCCTGGGCATACGGCGCTGATGAGACGCCTATGAGCCACAGTCCACAGTCTGCGAGTCTTATCCATTGAGTGCCCGAATTCGGCCTCAGTACTTTGAATGATTGATAGCCGAGTGGCAGAAAATATATATTGATAATTAAAGAAGAGCGAGCTGAATCTGGATGCCTATACGTTACCTATCTTTCACAGACGTACCTACCCTCAATGATGTACTGAGCTAGTGCCTGTTCAGATGTACACCAAAGCTCTTCAGGCCGGTGGCGATCATTGCATCCCCCGTGCATCTATACGCAACCTCGATCCTCGATCATCCATGTTGAGACCGTTCATGGTCCATGATTGATGAGCTCGGTACGATGAACATTAATAGCAAGCTTGTGAGTCTCTTCGTACGCTTGATCGGCCATGCACCCTTTTTCCCGAGATGCAGACATTGCCCAACAGTTCAAGATCCACGCTCAAAGACACTCCTGAACAGGAGAAGCGCATGGTACAGCATCAGGGCCAGATCAAGACCTCGACTACCCCAACGATGGGCGCCAAAAGAAGTGAAGAGAGGCATCTGCGGAGACCTTCGAGCAAGCTTTCTTTGTGATATGAAGGCTGTGGGCGGTCCTCTCGCTACATAGATCCGGCTTCATATGTTATTCTGCCTTGATCCTGGCAGTTGTATGCGGTGCCGGCGGGCGGAAGAGTCCTCACTCTGCCGACGACGACGCTTTGACAAGATCTGACGCGAGGGCCGGCGTTCAGTTGATGGTGTTGCTCTACAGCGCACGCAAGCTTCATCGCGTAATGTGCCTGTGGCACGAGGCGAAGGGCAACGAGCGCAATGAACCGAAGAAGAGGCTCATGCGGCACTTGAGAACTTGCAGAACTCTCGACGCCACAGGACACTCGAGCCAGTACAGGTTTCACCACGATGATCACTTCCTCATAAGAGTTCATTCATTGCTTATCTCATTTTGCCTGTTATTACCTCTCTGAACACGAACCATCGTGAGGCGGCTGGGACCAAGCGTCCGCTATAGTACACCCGATACAGGAAAAGCATTAAACGTAAGACCGACGCCGTCGGTCGCCAGGCGTGGGAGCAAACTTGCTCCGCCCGCCGCTGATTCCCAGCCCCCTCAGTTGAAAGACACATTGCCCTGCCTCTCGACGTCCAGCTCCCCGTGTAGTTGGTAGTAGTTGAAGAATCGAGCCTCCGCCTTCGCGTTCGTGGCTGCGTCCAGATCCGCACTTCCCGCGCCATTCTCCTTGGCGTTCGGTGGGGAGAGCTTGGAGATGGATGAGGGACTATCACGACTGTCAGCATGTGGCCTCCGGGGTTGTGTGGACAAGTATAAACTTACCCAAAGACCTCGCGGTCGACAAGAAGGAACTGCTTCATAGCGTCCTTACCGCCCCGTTGCAGCAGATACTCCAGGTAGATCTGGGACAGCTGCTTCTTCGACGCCTTGGAAAGCCTGCTCTTGCTGCGCAGCGAGTCGAATATCTGCTTCACCCTCTCGCCGTGCAGAGCCTCCGTGTCCGCGCTGGTCGGCTGCTGCAGCTCAAACTCGAGCCACTTGTCCCAGAAGATGCGGCTGTCGGCGTACCAGTCCACGTTCTTCAGGAAGACGTTGCGAGCCTCCTCGTCGGTTCCCTTGACCTTCCACAGCAAGAACGCCCATTCTGTGACCATGGCTGCCTTTGTGAAGATGTCGACGTGCGGTGAGTCGATCTGGTTCTTGAACACCTCGATCGCTGCGTCGAGACCACTGTGCCGGCGCTGCAGGTGCGCCCAGGAGGTGATGGCCTCGATACAATCCGGCAGCTTGATGAGGATCGAGGCATGAATGTCGCGAGCCACGTCAATGCGTCCGCAGCTCTCCTCAAAGTAGGCAAACTGCAGCCTGATGCCGGGCCGGCTGATGGGGACGTGCATCGTAGTGGCGCGTTGGTAGATGATGCGGACCTCTTCCTCCTTGTCGGGCTTCGCAGACATCCACCTGGCGTAGCGGAACCAGAATTCGTCATACAGAGCGCACGTCACCAGGCATCGCTCGTACAGGAAGATTGTGCGAGTATGGTCGCCCTCTGCTTCTTCGAAATCAAGGTACTTGTTCCAGTTGGCAAGCTGCTGATAGTCGAGCTCGTCAATGTGGAAGTAAGGGCGCTTGATTTCCGACTCGTAGGTCCAGCGACGGCTGACCTCGTTCTGCGTCTGTGTGAACAGTTCATAGTACCTGGCATCGATCTTGCCGCGGATGTCACGTTCAGTCTCGAGCTCGGGCCTTTGCGTGCCGGCGTACGGTGCCTCAACTTCAGCGCGATACGCAGCGAGTACGTCATCGTCGACCAGTTCAGAGACGGGACGGTTGTGTGAGAGCTGACGGAACTTCTCGTAGTATCTTGAGTACTGGTGAAGCGGCAGGGTGACGATACGGCGCAGAATGGCGAGGACGCGGTCCTCTGCCTCCTGGCGCTCCTCATACTCGATGTACTTGTCCCAGAAGGGATGGGCCAGGAAGTCCAGGCCCACGTGGGTAGCACCGCGCTCAAAGAGCCTGAGAGTGTTGGTCAGCGATCGATCAGGGCGCTGGGGAGGGAACTGCAGGGCAACGGGGAAGGGAAGGAAGCATGTACAGGAGCGGGTTATCGGTGACAAAAATGCAATGATTCCAACTCGAGCGGCCATGGTGCGCCAGGGCGCACAGACAGTAACGCGACGTGAAGTGAATGAGTGGTCATATCAGTTCAGCCACAGATTCATGTGGAAATCAACAGAGCCTGGTACATGGTGTAAGATGGCATCCCAGCATGGGGGGCGTCTGTTGGCATTTCTCACCGGCTGGCAATGATGGGGCCAATCATGACACTCCAGGCTTGCAAGTTCATGAGGAGGGGTTCGAGCGGCCGTGCGGCGTGCTGTCGTGTTGACGGTATTAAGGGATGAGGGGGGGGTAAAGGGGAAGGAAAACCACCACATGTGCACACAGTACTTACTCCCTGACGAGTTGCGGGACATGGGTCGTCTCCATTTTGAAGGAGCAGTAGTCCGTCCACAAGTCGACAGAATTGGTGATGCTGGCGCATCCGCGCTCGTATACCTGCAATGTCCCGTCAGCCGCGGCATTCCGCATGGATGGTGGGGGATGGACAGAGGCTTGTCAACTCACAAGCTCTGCGGATTCAGGGCCGGCAATGTTGAATTCGAGGTCGGCATATTTCTTCCAGTAGCCGAAGAGGAGCGGGAACTTTAGCAGGAAGCCATCAAAGGCGTTGCGAAGAGCAGCCAGGGCTTGTGGGCTCGAGTTGCGGTTGAGGCCTCCTTCCAGCCCTTCGCACGCGCGAATGAGTTTTTCCCAAGTCTCGAAGTTGTCCGGATCGGCTTCCTGTACACGCAAGGTCAGGTCAGAGAACAGGCTTTGGAGGGTGAGGATGAAGTGTGTGTGTGGTGGCGACTTACGACCTCAGCCTCCAGCTTCTTGATTTCGGCATGCTCCTCAGAGCTACCATAGTGGTCGTAATCGGCCATGATAAGGGCGCTCCCAGGCGATCACAGGCTGTCGCACTATCGATCAATGTCGCGGTCGTGTTTCTGGATCGAGGTAGCTATTCCGCAGAGTAGAGCAAGCTGGGTCGGCGATGGAGCGATGGATTGAAAAGGCTGAAGGTTGAATGCCGTCAGGGAAGGCGCGCGCAGAAGGCTGGGGATAATCCTTAGTTGGTTGCAGCGCGCGCGTCGGAAGTCGGAGCTTCTGCTGGCAGAACGGCCACTGAGATTGACAAGGGGGTCAAACTTTTGAGTGGGGCGGCCAGGCCAGGCCTCGTATTAACTCAGCGACCTACACCTTAGAAAGCAAGGCAAGCAAGGAGCAAGGCAAGCTTAGGTACCTTAAGGTACCTAGGTACTTCAGTGAGACCATGACGCGACGGTCTTATTGGTTCCCATGGAATGGGGCCAGAACACTGTTATGTCAGCAGACTGGAGATAACCTCGACGTCGAAAAAAAATCTCGTGGTGTGTCTTCTTCCTCCATACCAGGCTTGTGATGATATCCATTAAATCAACATGATAGGAAGAGGATGAACGCTACCCAATGGGTAGCATGATCTCAATTCGAAATCTGAAGCCACATTTTCTTCTGCCCCCGCGTGGGCCTTCTTCCAAACCCCCAAACTATTAGATTGTTCTTTACACTCTCATTTTTCAACACAACGAACATCTCTTCCCAACTGTTGCAGGTGCTTGGTCAAAGCGGATGTGGAACGATGCAGTCGTGTCCGGCTTTTAGGATAGAGGAAAAATCCCCGCAAGCTCGTAGACGCGTGCACTTGCGTCGGACGGGTTCCGATGACGAGTGCCTCGCCGACGTTGCCTATCGTGCTCCTTATATCGCTACTTGACTTTGTGAGGCTTTCACCGTTACCACGCTGAAGGTTCTCGTACCAGCCAATTGAAGGTTTCGAGGCTGCAGACATGTCAGTTTTTGACAGCTGGCAAAGTGGCTGAGGTGCTACACATCTGCTGCGAAAACTGATTTGTCCAAGTGAAAGTACAGGCAACACTGGTTCCAGTATCACACTCAGATCACCTATCAGTCCATCTTGGAGATGTATTCCCCAGGTGCGCATGTTGTGCCAGTTGTCTGAGGCACCCACTACTAGCCTGACAGGTCATCGTGGTGCAGCCCCCCCCCCCCACTGATGGGCAGCCCAGCGAACCACGGGCCCCCAACGTCATACCTTGAGGTACCTACAGCTGGAAGCTCCCTGGTAGTCAGCGTCCAGGCCTGCCTCCGTAGTCTTGTCCGAACCAGATTCATGCCAACGTCCTCTTTCCTCGTCAGCTTGGCGACAATAGACTTATGCTTTTGAATGCACGACCCTGGAGCTCTTTACCCTCAACCGACCACTGCGACTTTCATCGAATCGTACCACGAACCGAAGCCGCTGGTCGGAAACCCGCCAACCCGCGCGACGACAACTGCCCCTCTTGATCAATTCCTGCTCCGACATGTCCGCCTCGTCACTCTAACCCTATCACCAATCTCGCGACAGCTGGTCTTTTCAGGATGGAACACGGAGGCGGAGGCTCGTGGGGAGTGGAAGTCCCTTCGCCGGAGAAGTCGAGTCAGCTCTACATACGCGACTACCCGCATCGATCCGTCGCTATCGTATCCAACTCCCACGCCCTCATCTTCAGTCATACATCCAGCCAGGACCTTACCAGCCAAGGCAATGGCAGCAGCCACCATCTTCCTCAGGTGCAACCTCACCGAGCCCGAACTTCAGGCACAGAGACCCCCGTGTCCAAATGCATGGCCGAGTTCGCGCCGCTGTCGAAGAACACACTTTCCGACTATCGCAGTTTGATACCGCGGCCGATATTTGGGACACTGGGCTTGATTTCGGTTGATGGAGATGTCTTCCTGTCTGTCGTCACGCACGCCACACGGGTTGCGACCATCCGGCCTGGCGAGACGGTCGAGAAAATCTCCAGCGTTGCCTTCTTCTGCCTCAACAGCGACCGCTGGGACGATGTCGTGTCCATTGACAATCTGGACCCCGACCTGTCCGATGCCTCATCCGTGTACGGACCAGCCGGCTACGGTCAGAACCTGAGTCGCCGAGAGATCACGGTCGAACACCCTTGCCATGACCTCAGGAAACTACTGAGCAATGGCTCTTTCTACTACAGCACCGACTTTGATGTCACCAACAGGCTGCAAGATCGGTCCGTGAACTCGGCCGCCTTCGACATTGACAATTTTGACGACTCGTTCCTATGGAACTCCTTCATGATTAGCCCCCTAGTCCAATTCAGATCACGTCTCATTCCCCACGAGAGAGAGGCTCTCGACGCATCGAGGATCCTCACGTCCGCCATCAGGGGCTTCTGCCGTACCATCGCCATCCCGCAGATCAGTGCTCCTCTGAAAACAACGAGTACAGGCCTCCCTTCGTATTTGACAGTCATATCGCGACTCTCGTGTCGAAGGGCTGGCACGAGGTTCAACTCCCGCGGCATCGACGATGACGGCAACGTAGCCAATTTTGTAGAAACGGAAACGACCTACTGGAGCCCTAGAGGGACTCTTTTCTCGTTCAGCCAGGTCCGAGGGTCCGTGCCGCTGTTTTGGGAGCAGGCGGCCGATCTTCTACCAGGAAAGCAGAACATCAGCATTACCAGGTCGCCAGAGGGCACGCAACCTGCCTTTAACAAACATTTCCAGGATCTCGAGCATGCTTACGGTGCCGTTCACGTAGTCAACCTGCTCAGCGAGGAGAAACCCGGGGAAGCCCAGCTCAGCAAGCTCTACCACAACGCTGTGCGCCATTCCCCGTTGAGCCAGGTCGGCCAGAACCAGTCTCAAGATCACGCCTTGTTGAGGGAGACGCACTACGACTTCCATGCGGAGACGAGAGGTGCTGCTGGCTACGAGTCGGCGAGGAACATCAGAAGACATATTGAGAACTCGACCGAGGGCTTTGCCTATTATCTCGCCGAGGAAACCGATGATGTGGCCGATGACAATCGCAGCTTGACAACGATCAACGGAGCCCCTCGCATGGTCGTGTTGCTCCAGCAAGAAGGCGTTTTCCGCACCAACTGTCTAGACTGCCTCGACAGAACCAACCTGATCCAGACGCTAATCTCCTCCATGGCCATGGAATCGTTCCTGGGCCAAAGGGGAGAGTACGCAACGTCCGATTTCTGGATGAGGCATTCAACCCTATGGGCAGACAATGGCGATGCCTTGTCAAAGATTTATGCGGGCACCGGTGCCCTCAAGTCGTCGTATACTCGCACTGGCAAAATGTCCCTGGCAGGCGCCGTCGCTGATATGCGCAAATCGATGCAGAGGCTTTACCACAATAACTTTACTGACGCCGCAAAGCAAACGACCATCGATCGTCTGCTCGGCCGGCTCGTGGGCCAGACGCCAATGCACATTTACGATCCGATCAGTGACTTTGTCGCAGCCGAGATGAGCAAGAGGAGCGCAGAGTTCTCCTCGACACAGGATATCAACATGTGAGTTCGACGCGCCATGCCCAGTTTCTGACACTGACACACAAGGCAGGTGGGTTGGCACTTTCAATCTCAATGGGCGGACCCAAGGCATCGACCACGATCTGTCGTCTTGGCTATGCCCCAAAGAACTGGGCCCAATTCAGCCCGAGATTGTAGCCGTTGGCTTCCAAGAAATTGTCGATTTGAGCCCTCAGCAGATCATGAACAGCGATCCCACTCGGAAACGACTGTGGGAGAAGGCGGTGAAACGGACACTCAACAGCCACTTTGAAAAGGCCGGTGGCGAGCGTTACGTCCTGCTCCGAAGCGGACAGCTCGTCGGTGCCGCGTTGTGCATTTTCGTCAAGGCATCCTCGCTTAGCAGCATTAAAAATGTCGAAGGTAGTGTGAAGAAGACGGGAATGTCTGGCATGGCCGGCAACAAGGGCGCGGTCGCCATTCGGTTCGACTACGCCAGCACCCCCATTTGCTTCGTCACGGCTCATCTAGCAGCCGGGTTTTCCAATTATGACGAACGCAACCGCGATTACGCGACTATCCATGACGGTCTGAGGTTCCAGCGCAACCGCGGCATTGATGATCACGGTGAGCAACGCAGTATGCCACTGCACGCAGCGTGTTGTTGACATCCACACAGACACGGTCATATGGCTTGGTGATTTCAATTACCGCATCGGTCTTGGTCCTGAAGCCGCCCGGTCTCTCGTCAAGAAGAAGGACCTGGCTACGCTGTACGAGAACGACCAGGTATGTCTGCACCGCCCAGAGTTTATTGACACAGTTTACTCACGCTTTCCAGCTGAACCTGCAAATGGTAGCTGGTCTATCCTTTCCGTTCTATTCGGAGGCGCGCATCACGTTTCTGCCCACCTACAAGTTCGATCTCGGGACGGACGACTACGATACTTCGTAAGTGGCCACATGAAACCGGGGTATGAAGCATTCGCTCACTGTGCGTAGGGAAAAGGCAAGAATTCCGGCCTGGACGGACCGTATTCTCCGAAAGGGGCAGAACCTGCGCCAGCTGTGCTACAACTCAGCACCGCTGAGGTTTTCAGACCATCGACCAGTCTATGCAACGTTCCAATGCACTGTCAACATTGTCGATGAGTCTCACCGCGAGCAGATTAGCCAAGAGTTATACTTGCGTCGGAAGCAGGAAGTTGGGGACCCTTCGACCAGTCTCGATACCGAGGACGAGGACGAGGACGAGGACGACGAAGACCTTATTGGATACGACGCTGTCGAACCCGGACTACCACCTGCCAGCTCCGACCGGCGAAAGTGGTGGCTCGACAACAAGCAACCGGCGAGGGCAGGCGTTAAGCCGCCACCTCCAGGTGCAGACGGGCAGAGCATGGTTTTGAACCCCAACAGGCCGGCGAACCCGTTCGGCGTGACGACGGAACCCGACTGGGTAACGGTATCACGATCGCGCGTTTCGTCCTTCTCGACGAACCTGTCAACATCGCCCTACGAGCATGTGAACACTCCGGCCGACCTCTTGACATCAACGGCGCCCGCGGCGCGCAGGGCACTTCCGCCGCCATTTGACCCTTCCACTCTCCCAGCTCCGCCGCCACGAACCAGTACGTGGGTCGACGGTAGCTCAAAATCGATGCAGAGAGCCGAGACACCACCTCCCCCTCCGCCTCCGAGGCGCCAGACAGCTGGCCCTACGGGCAGCTCGAACCAGTCGGCCTCCATGGCGGCTTTACACAAAACGCAGGCTGTGCCTCCGCCACCGCCGCGACCGTCATCGGCTCTTTCGGAGCTCTCTCAGCTTTCGCAGCAGTCACGTGGAAAGGCAGCACCACCCGTGGCGAGAAAGCCGTTACACCTGAGCTCAACGTCGCCGACGGCTAGTCCGTCATCCACGAAGAATGGGCATGGTATTGTGAGCGATGAGAAGCCGAAGCTTCCTATGCGGGCAGCGACGGGGCCTGTCGCGCAGAACGGCCACGGCGGGCCGACGTCGCCTGCTGGCGGCGTGCTGAGGAAGCAGCCGATGGCCGGGGCGATGGCCTTGCCGGGGATGCGAGCAGGCGAGAACCGGCCCAAGCCTAAACCACAAGTGCCGACGAAGATACAGAAGAAGACGCCGGTTGACTTGCTGGATGCTCTGGGTGATGACGAACCACGCGATTCGGGGAGCTGGGAGACGTTGACGCCTAGCAGCCACAGACGGTAGATAGCTGGACAGTCGGAACGAGCAGACGACGTGACCAAAAGACGGGGTGGCGATATTTATTTTTGGAGAAGGGTAGACTCTGTTACCACGAACAACCTGGTGGTCTAGTGTAGCATTGGGCGGGGGGTTCTTGCAACGGTCAAGCGGGTCAAAGACTTTATGAAGTGATGGATGCAAATGCTATACTGGTTTTTGCGTGCCTCGACGATTTCGGTTTTCAGTTCTCATGACTCGGAGACGCCAGCAACTTGGGCAGTCCAACCAAGTGCGACGCGGCCGCGTCTGATGAAAGGTCTCGCTCGCCTTTTAGGTGCTGCACTTAGGCTCTTCCGAAACTTTAGTTTTTGCCATTCCTCCAAACAGCTGGGTTAGATGGCGCTATCAGTCTCATCATTCCAAAGCAGCACAGGCGACACGCACTTGTTCTTTTTCGGGCACGAGAGCTGAGTCGCCCGCGAGCTCTGACAGCGTCGTTTCTTTCTCGGGCGGGCGTCCAGGGCGCATATCATGCTAGCTCCCTCTCGCGTGTGAGGAAGGGATCAAACCCAAAAGAGGGCCTCGCGCTGTCTGGTGCTGGCGACCGACTTGCTTTTAGACTTTGGGAGTGGGCTCTGACTTCCTCAACCTCACCCAGACACCACGCGCTACGCCGCTGTCGCCGTCGCTTTGCTCAGCTCGACCTCATCTCTCTCGCTCTTCCTGTCCTCCTCCTTGTCACGCATTCCGTCGCCATTCAATCTGTTCCCCCCTCCCCCTCCCTCCCTCTCTCTCTCGCCCATATACACAATACATCGACAAGCCGCCATGGACGACACATCCTCCTCACAGACAACAATGGAGCCCTCGACGCCCACGCCGAAAAGGCAGCCCCCCCTCTACACGCCCCTGGCGGCAGCAACGCTCGAGCGCATCAACACGTGGCGCACGACGAACCTCCTCGCCGCAACCTGCACCTGCACCGACCCCCCGACGCCGCTGCCGCACCCGACCTCGACCTTTCTCGCCGCCCACACAAACTTCTGGCACGGCACCTGGACCTACCGCCGGCACCCGCCGCCCCCGCCGCCGCCCGACGACTGGCGCCCGGACTCGTGTCCGCGCTGCGCCCGCCTCGGCGCCGCCGCCCCGGCCACGCCAGATCCCACCCCGGAGGAGCAGCAGCAGCAGCAGCCACCGCACGCCTCGGGCAGCGCAACCTCCTCGTCCCGTCCGGCGCCGCCCCTGGCCC